ACAGGGAGCCAGTGAAGATGTTCCAGGACAGGGGTAATGTGGCTACGTCGGTGTGCACCCGTCAAGAACCTGGCAGTTTGCTCCAGGCTTTATGATCACTGCTCACCTTTGGCTGAAAACTCAAAACAACCCTGCTCCTCTTTAGTTTGCTTCAACTGTTGACAGATTTCTGCTGTTTTTGTCGTTTTTAAATGTTTCTGATCGGCAAATTTAAAAACATGACAATGGTTGGCAATGGCAACTATGGCAAACATGACAATGGACACTATGACAAGTAGGCTCAAAGATCTCAAAAGCCACACATCGTGTCTTGTTCTAAAGAAGATCAAGAACTATAGAAGCCAGGACAACGTTGTTCTGATTATGAACAGAAGTCACGATTCAGCAAGGAAGAAACGGCGGAAAACTGGCGTCACGGAAGAGCTCCAAAGTGAATACCTCTGAGTGACCCAGAACCTCACAGAGATCCTTCATTAACTTACCAAAAAAAAAAAAGATCTTGATGATCATAAACACAGTTGGGAAGACATTGTGTGGATTGGCGAGACAAAAGTGGAACTTTCTGGAAGGTCCAGGCCTGTCCAATGGATGCATAAGCTTTGCGGAACGTCCCGTGAAGCATAGTATGCCGCAATCGATCTCCGTTAAGAGTGTATGGGGGAGTTTCCACCGGCTGTGAGGCGTCATATCCTGGAAGTGCAGGGACACGACGCTCTGCCAGAGCCACAGTCAGAGTCTATCTTTTACAGGGTATACATCCAGAACGCACCAACTCAGTAGTTCAAATTAGGCCAATCAGGATGTTGGACACAAAAGAAGTGCAAAACTTTCTGAAACACTCCTGGTGGGAAGACAGGTAAAACGATCTATGACACTACGCGCTCCTTAAGCTTGGTTTATGCTTGACACGTCCGCGAGGTTCGCACGGCTCCGCGCAGCAAAATTGCGTCATTTTGACAACCACGCCCCTCCACCGCGCCTCCGCACGGCCCAAACTTTCCGCACCGCGCACCTAGGAAATTTTCTAACCACGCAGACGGTCGGACGCGGAAAAACATGGTGGACTGGCAAGTAGGCCTGTAGCGACGCTTCGATGACGTCGAGGATTCGATTCTAAAAAAATGTCGACGTCAAATCCGGAAGTCGACGCACCACGTGACATAAACAGAGCAGCGCGGAGAAAAAATGCCGTTCATCTGATAGACTCAGCAGCAATGTCTCAGGGACCCCGGCGCCCTACCTCAAAGGTGTGGGAATATTTGAAACAGAGCACAAAACGTAAAGTGCCGTTATTCGCAGTCTTTGCACCATGGAATTAGCTTATCACACCAGCACAACGTCCATGTGAGAGCATCTGAAGCGGAGGCATCCCATTGTTACCCGTGACTCCCGCGAAAAGAAGTAAGTAACATTATATCATATTGTCAGTGTTTGCTAAATTGATTGCATGTTTGTGTAACATGTGCGTGAGCTCTGCGCACTTCGGTAGGGCGTGTTTGGTTTGGCTAAACACAGCTTTATTTAGCTAACTTTAATTAGCGATAGCAAATAATGCTGGCCCAAATGGCTAACTAGGTAATTGCTGCTAGGCAATGACAAAATGTATTGTTGTACAAAACATGACTTAACATTACAAAATTAGCCACACCAGCATTCTCAAATGACAATCATGGCATAGCACTGCAATAAGGCTAAGAGCAGATTTAAGATGCCTTACTTTCATAGCCGTTGTTCTGATATGCTCCAAATATAATCTAATTTGCATTCTGCAAAGCCTATACTTCTGTGTAGCTTATATTGTTGACTTTATTGCAACAGGGAAACATGTTTCTAACTGTGCATTTGACAATAAACACTTTTAATCTTTGAATTGATTTTGTGTTTTCCAGAGCAAAGCAAAGAACCTTGTCTTATCTTGGGCAAGAGATGCAATGCACACCTCCAGCCAAGCTGAATAAAAGGATCTTGAAAGTAAGTAATAAATATTAGCTAACTGTTGCTTGCTTTCAGCATCTTTTAGGAGGAAACTGCTAACTATGTAAAAAAAATTCACCCTCACGTAGATAAAAACAGATGACAAATATGACAATAGGGTCCAGTTTCTTTAATGTCCAACGTTTGCTTTTGTTGGCTTCTTTTTTATCTTCATGTCCTTGTGTGATTTGTCTAGTAATTAAATGTTGAATGCTATGTTGTTTCTATATTTATATTTTTATCTTACAGTTGATTGTTAAAGACATGAGGCCTTTGTCTCTTGTTGAGGGTGACGCCTTCATCAATATGGTCGAATATGCCTGTCCTGGCTTCAAATGTCCATCCAGGTGGTGGTTCACAAACCAGATGGGAAAACATATGAAGATACTCTGGATAATTTAAAGAAGAACATAAAGAAGAGGTCCTCAAAAATCATTCACCACTTCTGTTCAGGCTGTACAACAGGGTGCTCTTCCTTAGAGACTGTTAAACAGTTTTATTTTGTGTTAAAGACTCGGATGTTCATGCTGTGACCTGCACAGTGTTCTGTTTTGCACTAAAACTAGAGTTAAACTACAGTTATTGGAATTGTGTTCCAGTAATAATACTGCTTTTATTTTGTTTTAAGCAGAAGATGTTTGACTTTGGAAAATCATTGTGTAATAAAGTCATTTATACATTTTTGGGGGTAATTCTTTCAAATATGTTGGTTTAAATCAATTGTACAGCAAAAAAATAAAAAATAAAATCAAAAGATTAATCATTTAATTAGTCATTAAGAATAGTCGACTATTCGATAAAATAATCGCCAGAATAATCGTTTTGAAAATAATCGTTTACCTACAGCCCTACTGGCAAGAACTAGTATGGCAGAGGTTCGTAAATACAGACATTTGTATTAGGGCTGCAGCTATCGAATATTTTTGTAATCGAGTACTCTATCGAATATTCTATCGATTAATCGAGTACTCTAATAAATTACCCTTTTGCGTTTGTAAACCATTATATCAAATAGCATGTTGTATAATATGAAATACCTTAAAATGAGCAAGCAATTGCCAGTTATTCTTCAAGTTTTATTCAAAATTACTTTTCAAAACTTCAGCACTTCAACTTTACTTTACAGTAAACAAATGCGAGCGGCTGCGGCCCAAACACCATGGCAACACAAGGAACTACAAATCACTTTGACCAAGTCTCATAGGAATGAATATAAAAAGCTGAATATTGAGCCAATGACAGACTTCTGTTTTTGATCTTCTTGAACTATCTGTACTTAAAACTAGAAACAAGTTAAATTTGATTGAACGTCAGAAGGTGGGAAAGTGCCCCGCTCCCTCCCAGCTCCCTGATTGGTTGAGAGAGGTCAATCATCTTCAGGCTAAATGGAATTACACACCCACGCATGTGAGACATCAAATCGATCGGCTTGGCCTAAGGAATCCATCCATCCACATATAAATCCATACATGCTTCCATCCATCCATCCATCTAACATCCATCCAACAATCCATCCATCATTTCATTCATCCATCCCATATCAAATCTGAACATATGTTAATCTATCAGTTTCAGATATCAGCAAATATTTCTAAATTCACAGTTCAGCCAACTGTAAAAATGTACCCGTTAAACTATTGTCATTCAAATGCCAGCTGTTTAAACATTTCAAATTTCGAGTTTTTAATAAATGTTCAAAGATTAAAGTTTTCTGCCGTTTAGCATTTTTATCCATTCTTCACCTATATTCCGAGCCTTTGCTCAAATAGAAATTGAGGCCTGCCTCTAATTCTGGTCCTCCTTCCAATAAAGGCCTGGAGCTTGATGAGCTTGAGTCAAATACAGGCCTGGGCCTGTATTTGAGGATTTACGATATCTGACTTTCTGGGAAAGCCAGATATGTTAGCTTCCATTTCGCTAATGGTGCGTTCGCTTTCTCCTCAGAACTCAGAATTTCTGACTAGAAGAACATGAACGCGTTCTAAAGTTTGGCTTCACTTTACTAAATGCGACGGGTGATTGGGTGAAGATGAAACCAGCGACAACGATCTAAGTGTGAGGCATCATCGTTTTAATCTGCTCCAGCAGCTAAATAAACTGTTTAAGATAACGTTAGCTTGATATGTTAGCTTCCATTGCTGCCATTGTTATCAGCTAATGGTGCGTTCGCTTTCTCCTCGGAAATTCTAACTTCCCAGTAGGAAAAATCAAATGAAAAAGGGCGGCAAAAGGAATGAAGATACACAGTAAATTTAGTTCACAGTAAAGATGTTTGCTTCAGTTTAATTATCAGCTTATAAAACTACAAGGACGATGTTAAAATACAAACAGTTGTATGTTATTTATCGTGATATTTATCAAATATGGTTATATATTGAGAAAAATATATATTTAATTATAAAAGAGAATTAAAATAATAAACACTCAAATGTATATAAAATTGGTACCGTTAAGTACCGGTATCGATTCCTAGGTACTGGGAATTAGTACCGAATCGATTCAAATGTCACAGGTACCCATCCCTACGTCAGGTCATCTTTGTACTTAATGGCTTTTTCTTATTCTAGTCTGAAACATGTAACAAAGCAGCAGAGATATGTAAGGGTGTGAATACTTCCTCATACACCGATGAGATGTTTATTTTACGTCTCCGTTCTAAATGAGATGAAATTATTCACAGGTGTGCTTTAAATCCGCCTGAGCCAATCAGAAGCGAGCCTGTTTGGAAATGAGGCTATTAAGCACCATGTGCCACATTTAGCCAACCTGTGGGGGTGACGATGGGAAGTTTCTCCACATGGCCTCAGCTGAAAGCAGCACCAGCACCCGTTCTAAGGCCATTGTTTGTTTACCTGAGCCCGGTTCGGTTCGGGAATGGTTCGGGCAGAGCGCAGTTAGGCCGAAAGGCAGCGACAAAGAGCCCGCTCGCGTTTCCACGACCCGGTTCATTAAAACCGCAGAACCCATCGAGGCGCGCGGTTCGGCTGGTTCCGAGGCCGGGTGTTGTTCATGTGTGTGCTCTTTACCTCGCAGTCGTAGAGGTCCGTTAGCTGGTCGATGATCCACTCCTCCAGGTTCAGTCTCTTCCTCAGCTCCTTGCGGTCGTATTTGACGGTAACGCGTCCCTGCTTCCGAACCGGCATCTCCGGTTCCTCCGTGGTGCCGGCCGGCGTCTGGAAATATACCCGGGGTTGAGGGCTCGTCTCCGGGCTCGTCACAGCTGCCATTGTCGCTCGGCTCGGGCTCCTCCACCGGAGGTGTGGAAGTGTAAACGCGGGGTACCGGAGACGAAGCGGAGAGCGGCTCTGGGGCTCCTTTTGTGTCGAACTTTTAAAAAATGAATAAATTAGAAAACTGGATGTGAGTGAGTTAAAAATCCCCCTTCCCGACGAAACCGCACCGGAGCTTTTGTCCAAGGTCGCTCCGAGGAACACGGACAGGGACTGGAGCGCTTCCACGAAACAAAACGGTACCGACGGCCAGGCGGTACGGTTAAACGGCTTACCGGACTATTTACGGAGAGCGGTGTCCGCTTACATAAAACCCAACGGAGCAGAGCGCTGGAGACCGGCCTCAACTCTTGAGTGAGCACAAAGAGGAAAAGAGAAAATCACACGTCCCTCTCCGCTCCGCTCCGCCGGCCCCACGAGAGCTGCGTGCGCGCGACTGGACTCGAGCGCAGCTGACGTAGACGGACCGCTTTTTTCTCATTTTCCTTAAAAAAAAAAAAAAAAAAAAAAAAAAACTATAATTGCAACCATCGATTTTCAACTACAAATCTGCTATTTATGCGTGACCCAAGAGGCTTTTTACGCTGTAGAAGGGAAACGGCGCATTATTATGCGAAAACTGGCCATTTAACGCGTTACCAAGTGAAATATTAAATCAGTGGTTCGCTAACTTTATACTCTTGATTTCTAATAAAATGTGCCTTGTGCTTCTGATCATGGACGTAATTTTTTTTTGGGGGGGGGACAGGGGGGACATGACCCCCCACTTTTTCCAAAGTCAAGTTTTGACCCCTGCACTTTTTACTATCAAAAAACAATATTTACGCTATGTTAAATTGACACTGGTTGAGCTCTAGGACCAAGCGAAAAACAACCGTTTGTGTTGATGCCTGTTTCCCGAGCATACTGTAAATATCCCCCCCGTGCCCCCCCCCCCCACTTATAAAGTGAAAATTTCATCCACGCTTCTGATGTTTCCAATCTAGAGGTCAAGACTCCAAAATGGGTCATTACACTCCTTGTATGGAAGACTAATCCTGCCAAAATATAATAAAATAACCTACATTTGGAAATAAACAAATATATGTTGTAAATATTTTTCTCCAGCACTGGTTGTTATATGAGCTTCACCACAGGAATATTTTTTCCCAGTTTATAAATTATCTCCACCCACACAATTATTCAGACGATGAAGTACAATCACTGTCCACACTAGGTGCAGGGAACATATCACCCGTGTGTTGGCATCCCTTCATTGGCTCCCTGTGCAGTCCAGGGCAAAATTCAAGGTCTTGGTGCTGGCATACAGGGCCTTTTGCGCATGCCCCCTTCGCTCAGCCGCCAGGGAGCTGTTGATGGTTCCACGCACTAAGTGCAGGTCACGGGGGGACCGTGCGTTCGCTGTCTTGGCACCTGCATTTTGGAACCAGTTGCCTTTGGTGGTGCGTCAGTCACCCTTATTGGGGGTTTTTAAGACTCGCCTTAAGACCCTTTTTTTTTGTCAAGGCTTTTCAGGATTAGCAAATTTTACCCGGTTTCGACACCCCGGCCTCTTAATCTTTTTCAGGATTTAATTTTTTGCTTTTATTCTCCTCTTTTAATTGATTTTATGTTGGTTTTATGATTGTTATATTTTATTCTGATGGTTTAATGCTTTTATTGTGTTGTGTTCAGCACCTTGGGCGTCTGCATTGGTTGCAGAAGGGGCTTTATAAATAAAATGAAATGAAATGAATGAGTTAACCATACATATCAAAATACAGGACAGAAACATACTTTTACCGTAATTTGCAAGACTAAAGCTTCTTTCAAAGCTTGTACATTATAGAGCTCCGGGAGTTGACGTCACTTCTCCCGGCATGTAACAGTTCAAATTGAAACGGCGCCATATTGGCAGGTAGAATCCGGCAGCTGGAATATTTGTTATTGTCAGAAAACTCAATCAAACAGGAAATATGGTAGATTCCTGTTGTGCCCCAGGATGCAGAACAGATGTAGACGACATAAGGAATGAGCCGTCTACACAGGATTCCCCAAGATCCGCAAACGTTGGATCATTGTAATAAAACGCGCTAGTGCCCGGGCTAAAATGAAACTGTGGGATCCCGAGAGTAAAGGTTTTCACTTATGCAGCGACCGCTTCATATCAGGTACTTAAACAACGTTTCCTCAACTGTGTATGGTATTTATTTTAAATGCTTTTATTACGATTCTTAGTGGGCTTCCTAAACTTATTTTGGCGTGGCTTTTTCTGTCTTATTACTCATAGCAACAAGTAAACATCACGTAAAACGTTGCCTCGTGAGTTCTGCGTGCTGCCGTTTACGTGTTTTATGATCACAGCAATTAACCGGCTAAGCTGTATTTAATTTTTAAGCAATGGTTGATCAATTGTCAGATCACACATAAAAAGCACTTTGGATTGCTATTATCTGTCTCACCGAGACAGATATCCGACAGATCCTGAGACGCTCCTGCCTGACATATTTATTTTATTCACGGAAAAAAATCAGACTAGTGATTTCTCTTGGTGTTCAGTTTATACATTCAAACAGCACAGCACTCTATTTAAACTACTTACATGTAAATCTATGTTATTTGTCCATCCATCCATTTTCATCCGCGTATCCGGAGTCGGGTTGCGGGGGCAGTAGCGTTGAGAGTCCCAGACCTCTCCACAGCTCCTCCGGGGGAATCCCAAGGGGATCCCCGGCCATGTCCGGTAAGAAGTCCGCTCCGACAGCTTCTGGCGTGTTTAAAAAGTATCCCAGGGGCACGGTAAGGGTCTGAGATGTTTAGTCTATTTAATTTCTGACTATATAAAACGATTTCTTCGGTTTTAAAGTGTGAAGTAAACTCTGACGAAGTAAAATCCAAGCCGATCCCGTTCACGTTCATAGTTAGATCCGTGTTTGTTTAGCTTCTTTCACCTGCCAATATGGCGTCTACTAACTGAGAGTCACGTGGGGTCCGGAGCTCTATGTTGCATTGCAATCACCACAAATTCAAAGTTAAGATGTTAATGGGGCGAAAGTGGAGCAAATGTGGGAAAACTTGTGATGTCACAAACAGGGACTTTTTTTCGCTTGGTAACGCTTGGCGTTTCCTGAACATGTTTGAATTTGTCCCTCTTTTATGTTGATTTTATCTGTTTTCATTGGTTCACTTTTCCCCTTGTTTTACACATTTGTCTTCTACTAGAATGTTTCACCTTTTTTGTAATTTGTAATCTGTAATTTGAATTGCTTTTATTTTCTGATTTATTCACTTTCTTTAACTTTGTACTGTACCATGTTCAGCGCCTTGGGCTTCCTGACAGGGTTGCGGAAGGCGCTTTATAAATAAAGCTTTGATTTGATTTGATTTTGATTTGAGCGGGGCTCGAACCTGCAACCTTCTCATTACGGGGCGAGCACTTAACTCCTGTGCCACCGTCGCTGCCATAGTGGGTCTATTGTGCTGCAACAGCAGGGAGCCCCACACCCGGGCAGGCAGCTCCGGACCAAAGTCTGAGCGGGAATAGGAGGAGGGTGGATTCATAAAGTCCTATTCCTCATATCAGTGTGTGTGTGTGTGTGTGTGTGTGTGTGTGTGTGTGTGTGTGTGTGTGTGTGTGTGTGTGTGTCCAACTAGACCACGGCAACAAGACATCAAATCTGAATTATTCAGAGAGCATGTCTGAAACTTACGCTCGAGTAAGCACAGGCAGACTAACACACACGCATACACGTGAAGGCTCACACTGTCATATGTCCCAAATAGTGATCCTTAAAAAAAACTTACAGATTATTAAAACAACAACAAATGCATGTGTTTTTAAGAGAGTACAACATGTTTTTAAAGTACTTTTGAATGCCAGTAAATTAGAAAACAGGTCTTGTTTGTGTTTCTTCTGAGTTCCTATGAAAGAAACGGAAAGCGTGAATCAGAAGGAGGTCAGAGTAATGCTAAAGTGCTCTCCAGCGGGCTTGCAACGACGAATAATGGCGTTGCGTGCGTCTGTCGCAGGCGGAGAAGTATAGGCTTCAGGCTCCCTTTATTTATACAGAACCCAAGTAATAGTTCAACATTCTTAAAACCATCTTCACGCAGGATATACCTTTTTGGCATATTAGCGACACTAGTGTTTGGATTTGGAATTGCACCCAACTATAATCTGATTATCCTGCATAACACAGATGAATGATAGGAAGGGGAAGTTCAGGGGCCAATGCTCCTGGGGCCCCACCCCTAGAACCACCAATGCCTGTTGGTGAACAAGCCACAAGAAAGAGGTTCTGACATGGTTATATGTTATGAAATTGCCAACATTTGTTTTTTAAACAACTGGGTATCTTTTAGTTCATTTACAACAACACGTTGACGGAAATTTCCAAAGATTAATGGTAAAAACTACACATTGTCACTTTAAGCCCACCATACAAATTCAGAGTTTGTAACTGTTTGGGTCATTGGCAGGGCTCCTGGGGCTGCAATGGAGTGTGTCTAGAGACCTGCAGAGCAGAATATTTTGCTATTGCTTTGGTTTGTCAAGATTTTTAGGCCACATGAGGTCCTGAATCAGAAAAAAACACGGAATGTCAAATCTGGCTGAGGATAAGTTAGTGGGGGGATTGACGGTAAACCAAGAGCTAAGTGTCATTACAGTAATGCTTCCTGTTTAGACTGTTGGTTACATTAATATTTATAAGATAAAAATAAATTCACTTAAAATGCACCTAAACCAGAGAATTTATGAAGAGCAGACATTTTCTGTCCACAAGGGGGAGCTGTTGTTCTGGTTTGACTGTCCGACACAGGAAAGAGGCACTGTGGGGAAACAATGTGAAAAATGTGTCAGAGCGGGTTTCCTACAAATATCCATTATTAAAGATAAAATGCATTGGCTGGTGAATTGAGCGTGTTATTTAAACGCCTCTCCTCCTGCATGGCCACATTCTTTAGAGGCTTGCTGCTGATTGCATTAACAGTGATTTCACATTGATTTATGTGTAACTAAAGCTGAGGCTGATTTGTGTGCACAGGCACAGATAGGTCACACCCTGTCTTTTTTCTCAGCTGAAACCAGAACGTCCACATTCCTGATGGTTGGACAAAGAGGGACAACAGTGTGTGCGTTCAGCCACCAGGTGGCAGCATAGGACAACATGGAAAGGATTTAAGTAAACATCAAAGGGTACAAAAAGGAAGATTTGCTTCAAAAAGAAGTTTTAAAATTCAGTACAGGAGATGAGCAGCTTCAGCTGAGCCTGGCTAGAGGAGTAAGAGTGGCTAAAATGGAAGTAAGTCTTGAGGGGAAGGCTCTAATCAGCTCCGAGCCTGAACGCCCACACGAGCGCTTTTCTCAAACATTGTGACAATAACCCTACACTGTTATGGAGACAGATAGGTCCGCTCTCCTGTAAACTGTCCATAACCCGGCACCAA